TGACGGTTGAGAGGCGGGACCAAAGAGCCAGAGCTCAACGCCCGTAAGCACAAATAGGTGAGTACAACACACACACACACACACACACACACACCACACACACACAACCAGGACACCACAACTGCCAGAAATTTGGAAAGCAGCTAACGTAGTCCCGATATACAAGAAAGGGGATAGACAGGAGGCACTGAATTACAGACCAGTGTCCCTAACCTGCATACCATGCAAGTTGATGGAGAAGATTGTGCGAAGAAAGCTAGTGGAACATCTGGAGCGAAAGAACTTTGTAACACAGCATCAACATGGATTCAGGGATGGCAGGTCCTGCCTCACAGGGTTACTTGAATTCTACGACCAGGCAACAAAAATAAGGCAAGAAAGAGAAGGGTGGGCAGACTGCATATTTTTGGATTGTCAGAAAGCCTTTGACACAGTGCCACACAAGAGGCTAGTGAAAAAACTGGAGATGCAGGCTGGAGTGAAAGGGAAGGTACTCCGTTGGATACAGGAGTACCTAAGTAACAGGAGACAACGAGTCAGTGTGAGGGGTGAGGTCTCAGATTGGCGAGACGTTACGAGTGGAGTACCGCAGGGGTCAGTCCTTGGACCTATACTGTTTCTGATATATGTAAATGATCTTCCAGAGGGTATAGAATCGTTTCTCTCAATGTTTGCCGATGATGCAAAAATTATGAGGAGGATTGAAACTGAGGACGATAGTAGGAGGCTACAAGATGACCTAGACAGACTGAGTGAATGGTCCAACAAATGGCTGTTGAAGTTCAACCCGAGTAAATGCAAAGTAATGAAACTAGGTGGTGGAAATAGGAGGCCAAACACAGGATACAGAATAGGAGATGAAGTACTTAATGAAACGAACAGAGAGAAAGATCTAGGAGTTGATATCACACCAAACCTGTCTCCTGAAGCCCACATAAAAAGAATAACGTCTGCGGCATATGCGAGGCTGGCTAACATCAGAACAGCGTTCAGGAACCTGTGTAAGGAATCATTCAGAATCTTGTACACCACATATGTAAGACCAATCCTGGAGTATGCGGCCCCAGCATGGAGCCCGTACCTTGTCAAGCACAAGACGAAGCTGGAAAAAGTCCAAAGGTATGCCACTAGACTAGTCCCAGAACTAAGAGGCATGAGTTACGAGGAAAGGCTGCGGGAAATGCACCTTACGACACTGGAAGACAGAAGAGTAAGGGGAGACATGATCACAACCTACAAAATCCTCAGAGGAATCGACAGGGTAAACAAGGATAAACTATTCAACACTGGTGGGACGCGAACAAGGGGACACAGGTGGAAACTGAGTACCCACATGAGCCACAGAGACGTTAGAAGGAACTTTTTCAGTGTCAGAGTAGTTAACGGATGGAATGCATTAGGCAGTGATGTGGTGGAGGCTGACTCCATACACAGTTTTAAATGTAGATATGATAGAGCCCAGTAGGCTCAGGAATCTGTACACCAGTTAATTGACAGTTGAGAGGCGGGACCAAAGAGCCAAAGCTCAACCCCCGCAAGCACAAATAGGTGAGTACAAATAGGTGAGTACACACACAAACACACCAGGCACCAGGCAGAAACAAATGGGTAAAGTTTCTTTCACCCTGAATGCCCCTGTTACCTAGCAGTAAATAGGTACCTGGGAGTTAGTCAGCTGTCACGGGCTGCTTCCTGGTGTGTGTGTGTGTGTGGTGTGGAAAAAAAAATGTTAGTAAACAGTTGAGAGGCGGGCCGAAAGAGCAAAGCTGAACCCCTGCAAACACAACTAGGTGAATACACACACACACATACACACACAGATTGTATGTGTATGGATTGGGAGAACAGAGACCCGTATGGAGGACCAGAAACATGGAGAGCTAAGCTGCTGGACGTGGCAACAAGAAACTTTCTAAGCCAGCACATCAAAGAACCAACAAGAATGAGAGGAGAAGATGAACCAGCAATGCTTGATTTGATATTTACCCTAAATGAGTGGGATATAAGGGAAGTTAAGATGGAAGCGCCCTTGGGAATGAGTGACCACAGTGTAATGAACTTTGAGTACCTGGTATAGCTAGGAATTATCTCCCCCAAAAAAGAACTAGGAATCAAAAGGCTGGCATACCGAAAGGGGAATTATGAGGAGATGAGAAGTTTCCTAAGTGAAATACCTTGGGACACAGACCTCAGAGATAAGTCCGTACAGGGTATGATGGACTATGTTACCCAAAAGTGTCAGGAGGCAGTAAACAGGTTCATCCCGGCTCAAAGGGAAAAATCCGAGAAGCAACAGAAGAATCCATGGTATAATAGGGCATGTATGGAAGCAAAGAAACTGAACAAAAGGGCGTGGAGGAACTTCCGGAATAACAGAACACCAGAAAGCAGAGAGAGATACCAGAGAACCAGGAATGAGTACGTCAGGATGAGAAGAGAAGCAGAGAAAAGTTTTGAAAATGATATAGCAAACAAAGCCAGGACCGAACCAAAGCTACTCCACATTCACATCAGAAGGAAAACAACAGTGAAAGAAGAGGTATTGAAACTTCGAACAGGCGAGGACAGGTATACAGAGAATGACAGAGAGGTGTGTGAAGAACTCAACAAGAGGTTCCAGGAGGTCTTCACAATAGAACAAGGTGAGGTCACTGTGCTAGGAGAAAGGGAGGTAAACCAGGCGGCCTTGGAAGAGTTCGAAATTACGAGAGAGGAGGTCAAGAGACACCTGCTGGATCTGGATGGTAGAAAGGCTGTTGGTCCAGATGGGATCTCACCATGGATACTGAAAGAGTGTGCAGAGGCACTTTGCTTGCCACTCTCCATAGTGTATAGTAAGTCACTGGAGACGGGAGACCTACCAGAAATATGGAAGACGGCGAATGTGGTCCCAATATACAAAAAGGGCGACAGGCAAGAGGCACTGAACTACAGGCCAGTGTCCTTGACTTGTATACCATGCAAGGTGATGGAGAAGATTGTGAGAAAAAACCTAGTAACACATCTGGAGAGAAGAGACTTCGTGACAACCCATCAACATGGGGTCAGGGAGGATAAATTTTGCCTTACAGGCTTGATAGAATTCTACGATCAGGTGACACAGATTAAGCAAGAAAGAGAAGAATGAGCCGACTGCATTTTTTTGGACTGTCGGAAAGCCTCTGACACAGTACCCCATAAAAGGTTGATGCATAAGCTGGAGAAACAGGCAGGAGTAACTGGTAGGGCGCTCCAGTGGATAAGGGAGTACCTAAGCAATAGGAAGCAGAGAGTTACAGTGAGGGGTAAGACCTCAGAATGGCGTGAAGTCACCAGTGGAGTCCCACAGGGCTCTGTACTCGGACCTATCCTGTTTCTGATATACGTAAATGATCTCCCAGAGGTTATAGACTCATTCCTCTCAATGTTTGCTGACGACGACAAAATTATGAGAAGGATTAAAACAGAGGAGGACAGCTTGAGGCTTCAAGAAGACCTAGACAAGCTGCAGGAATGGTCGAACAAATGGCTGTTAGAGTTTAACCCAAGCAAATGTAATGTAATGAAGATAGGGGTAGGAAGCCGGAGACCAGATACAAGGTATCATTTGGGAGATGAAATACTTCAAGATTCAGAGAGAGAGAAAGACCTGGGGGTTGATATCACGCCAGACCTGTCCCCTGAAGCTCATATCAAGAGGATAACATCAGCAGCATATGCCAGGTTGGCTAACTTAAAAACGGCCTTTAGAAACTTGTGTAAGGAATCTTTCAGAACATTATATACCACATATGTCAGACCAATCCTGGAGTATGCGGCTCCAGCATGGAGTCCATATCTAGTCAAGCATAAGACTAAACTGGAAAAGGTTCAAAGGTTTGCCACGAGACTAGTACCCGAGCTGAAAGGTATGAGCTACGAGGAGACTACGGGAATTAAACCTCACTTCGTTGGAAGACAGAAGAGTTAGGGAGGACATGATCACCACATTCAAGATTCTCAAGGGAATCGACAGGGTTGATAAAGACAGGCTATTTAACACAAGGGGACACAGGTGGAAACTGAGTGCCCAAATGAGCCACAGAGATATTAGAAAAAACTTCTTTAGTGTCAGAGTGGTTGACAAATGGAATGCATTAGAAAGTGATGTGGTGGAGGCTGACTCCATACACAGTTTCAAGTGTAGATATGATAGAGCCCAGTAGGCTCAGGAACCTGTTCACCTGTTGATTGACGGTTGAGAGGCGGGACCAAAGAGCCAGAGCTCAACCCCCGCAAGCACAACTAGGTGAGTACACGATGTCTGTGTGTGTTTGAAGCAGGGAAGCAGGGAGAGGGTGCCAGAGAGAGGGTGCCAGGGAGAGGGAGCCAGGGAGAGAGAGCCAGGGAGAGGGTGCCAGGGAGAGGGTGCCAGGGGGAGGGAGGCAGGGACATGGTTCCAGGGAGAGGGTGCTAGGGAGAGGGTGCCAGGGAGAGGGAGCCAGGGAGAGGGAGCCAGGGAGAGAGAGTCAGCGAAAGGGAGGCAAGGAGAGGGAGGCAGGGAGAGAGAGCCAGGGAGAGGGTGCCAGGGAGAGGGAGGCAGGGAGAGGGGTGCCAGGGAGAGGGTGCCAGGGAGAGGGAGGCAGGGAGAGGGAGCCAGGGAGAGGGAGGTAGGGAGAGGGAGCCAGGGAGAGTGAGGCAGGGAGAGGGAGCCAGGGAGAGGGAGGCAGGGAGAGTGAGGCAGGGAGAGGGAGCCAGGGAGAGTGAGGCAGGGAGACGGAGCCAGGGAGAGTGAGGCAGGGAGAGGGAGCCAGGGAGAGAGAGCCAGGGAGAGGGAGCCAGGGAGAGGGAGGTAGGGAGAGGGAGCTAGGGAGAGGGAGCCAGGGAGAGAGAGCCAGGGAGAGAGATCCAGGGAGAGGGAGCCAGGGAGAGAGAGGCAGAGAGAGAGAGCCAGGGAGAGGGAGCCAGGGAGAGGGAGCCAGGGAGAGGGAGGCAGCAAGAGAGAGCCACACCAATAACATCATCACTGGAGGCCAACTTACAGTGTGGTGAGGTTCCGGAGTCCCACAAACGCCCCTGGAAACACACGGCTCAGTAGCTGGTGGCTGAGGTCCCTGGGGGCGAGGCAGGTCACTGTGTTATAACATGGTTGTGGGGGTGAGGCAGGTCACTGTGTTATAACATGGTTGTGGGGGCGAGGCAGGTCAATGTGTTATAACATGGTTGTGGGGGCGAGGCAGGTCACAGTGTTATAACATGGTTGTAGGGACGAGGCATGTCACTGTGTTATAACATGGTTGTGGGGGCGAGGCAGGTCACAGTGTTATAACATGGTTGTGGGGGCGAGGCAGGTCACTGTGTTATAACATGGTTGTGGGGGCGAGGCAGGTCACTGTGTTATAACATGGTTGTGGGGACGAGGCAGGTCACTGTGTTATAACATGGTTGTGGGGACGAGGCAGGTCACAGTGTTATAACATGGTTGTGGGGGCGAGGCAGGTCACAGTGTTATAACATGGTTGTGGGGGCGAGGCAGGTCACTGTGTTATAACATGGTTGTGGGGGCGAGGCAGGTCACAGTGTTATAACATGGTTGTGGGGGCGAGGCAGGTCACTGTGCTATAACATGGTTGTGGGGGCGAGGCAGGTCACTACGTTATAACATGGTTGTTGGGGCGAGGCAGGTCACTGTGTTATAACATGGTTGTGGGGGCGAGTCAGGTCACTACGTTATAACATGGTTGTTGGGGCGAGGCAGGTCACTGTGTTATAACATGGTTGTGGGGGCGAGGCAGGTCACTACGTTATAACATGGTTGTGGGGGCGAGGCAGGTCACTACGTTATAACATGGTTGAGGGGGCGAGGCAGGTCACTACGTTATAACATGGTTGTGGGGACGAGGCAGGTCACTACGTTATAACATGGTTGTTGGGGCGAGGCAGGTCACTACGTTATAACATGGTTGTGGGGACGAGGCAGGTCACTACGTTATAACATGGTTGTGGGGACGAGGCAGGTCACTACGTTATAACATGGTTGTTGGGGCGAGGCAGGTCACTACGTTATAACATGGTTGTGGGGGCGAGGCAGGTCACTACGTTATAACATGGTTGTGGGGGCGAGGCAGGTCACAGTGTTATAACATGGTTGTGGGGGCGAGGCAGGTCACTGTGTTATAACATGGTTGTGGGGGCGAGGCAGGTCACAGTGTTATAACATGGTTGTGGGGGCGAGGCAGGTCACAGTGTTATAACATGGTTGTGGGGGCGAGGCAGGTCACTGTGTTATAACATGGTTGTGGGGGCGAGGCAGGTCACTGTGTTATAACATGGTTGTTGGGGCGAGGCAGGTCACTGTGTTATAACATGGTTGTGGGGGCGAGGCAGGTCACTACGTTATAACATGGTTGTTGGGGCGAGGCAGGTCACTACGTTATAACATGGTTGTGGGTGCGAGGAAGGTCACTACGTTATAACATGGTTGTGGGGGCGAGGCAGGTCACTACGTTATAACATGGTTGTGGGGGCGAGGCAGGTCACTACGTTATAACATGGTTGTGGGGGCGAGGCAGGTCACTACGTTATAACATGGTTGTGGGGGCGAGGCAGGTCACTACGTTATAACATGGTTGTGGGGGCGAGGCAGGTCACTACGTTATAACATGGTTGTGGGGGCGAGGCAGGTCACTACATTATAACATGGTTATTTGGGCGAGGCAGGTCACTGTGTTATAACATGGTTGTGGGGGCGAGGCAGGTCACTACATTATAACATGGTTATTTGGGCGAGGCAGGTCACAGTGTTATAACATGGTTGTGGGGGTGAGGCAGGTCACAGTGTTATAACATGGTTGTGGGGGCGAGGCAGGTCACTGTGTTATAACATGGTTGTGGGGGCGAGGCAGGTCACTGTGTTATAACATGGTTGTGGGGGTGAGGCAGGTCACTGTGTTATAACATGGTTGTGGGGGCGAGGCAGGTCATTGTGTTATAACATGGTTGTGGGGGCGAGGCAGGTCACTGTGTTATAACATGGTTGTGGGGGCGAGGCAGGTCACTGTGTTATAACATGGTTGTGGGGGCGAGGCAGGTCACTGTGTTATAACATGGTTGTGGGGGCGAGGCAGGTCACAGTGTTATAACATGGTTGAGGGGGCACTACGTTACAACATGGTTGTGGGGGCGAGGCAGGTCACTGTGTTATAACATGGTTGTGAAGGCGAGGCAGGTCACAGTGTTATAACATGGTTGAGGGGGCACTACGTTACAACATGGTTGTGGGGGCGAGGCAGGTCACTGTGTTATAACATGGTTGTGGGGGCGAGGCAGGTCACAGTGTTATAACATGGTTGAGGGGGCACTACGTTACAACATGGTTGTGGGGGCGAGGCAGGTCACTGCGTTACAACATGGTTGTGGGGACGAGGGAAGGCATAATATCATTAAATGCACTTAGATGAACATAAAAACATAGCATGCACTCAGAGCAGCATATTAGCGTGGCATGCACTCAGAGCAGCATAATAGCATAGCATGCACTCAGAGCAGCATAAGAGCATGATTTACACTCAGAGCAGCATATTAGCATAGCGTGCACTCAGAGCAGCATATTAGCATAGCATGCACTCAGAGCAGCATAAGAGCATGATTTACACTCAGAGCAGCATATCATTGCATGCGGAAAGTTTCCACCATACCAATATTATGATCTAAGAAAAGAAGTAATTCTAAATCGTATGTGAATCATTCATCTTAATCACGTCTAACTGATTTCTGAATCATATCCGAATCATATATGAATCACACATGAATCCTACATCAACTAAATCATACATTCATGACACCACAATAATCACGTCCGCCAATAGACACGGCCGGCAATAGACACGGCCGTTAATAGACACAGCCGCCAATAGACACGGCCGTTAATAGACACAGCCGCCAATAGACAAGGTCGTTAATAGACACAGCCGCCAATAGACAAGGTCGTTAATAGACACAGCCGCCAATAGACAAGGTCGTTAATAGACACAGCCGCCAATAGACATGGCCGCCAATAGACACGGAGGGTATAGATTCATTTCTCTCAATGTTTGCGGACGATGCCAAAATTATGAGACGGATTAAGACAGAAGAGGACTGTTTGAGGCTTCAAGAAGACCTAGACAAGCTGAAGGAATGGTCGAACAAATGGTTGTTAGAGGTTAACCCAACCAAATGTAATGTAATGAAGATAGGTGTAGGGAGCAGGAGGCCAGATACAAGGTATCATCTGGGAGAGGAAATTCTTCAGGAGTCAGAGAAAGAAAAAGACTTGGGGGTTGATATCACGCCAGACCTGTCTCCTGCAGCCCATATCAAGAGGATAACATCAGCGGCATATGCCAGGCTTGCCAACATACGAACGGCATTCAGAAACTTGTGTAAAGAATCATTCAGAACTTTGTATACCACAAATGTCAGGCCAATCCTGGAGTATGCAGACCCAGCATGGAGTCTATATCTAGTCAAGGATAAGACTAAACTGGAAAAGGTTCCAAGGTTTGCCACCAGACTAGTACCCGAGCTGAGAGGTATGAGCTACGAGGAGAGACTACGGGAATTAAACCTCACTTCGCTGGAAGACAGAAGAGTTAGGGGGACACGATCACCACATTCAAGATTCTGAAGGGAATAGATAGGGTAGATAAAGACAGGCTATTTAACACAAGGGGCACACTCACAAGTGAACACAGGTGGAAAGTGAGTGCCCAAATGAGCCACAGAGAAATTAGAAGGAACTTTTTTAGTGTCAGAGAGGTTGACAAATGGAATGCATTAGGAAGTGATGTGGTGGAGGCTGACTCCATACACAGTTTCAAGTGTAGATATGATAGAGCCCAATAGGCTCAGGAATCTGTGCACCTGTTGATTGACGGTTGAGAGGCGGGACCAAAGAGCCAGAGCTCAATCCCCGCAAACACAACTAGGTGAGTACACGACCGCCAATAGACATGACCGTTAATAGACACAGCCGCCAATAGACATGGCCTACGTGACGTTATTATTGTCTAGAATGTTCCATCATGAGATGGCATAATTGAAACATAACTGGACATCCTGTGACGTCATTTTAAATCCGTAATAAAGACTTAATCAGTACTATAATTACAATCAATAATCACTAAATCCTATATATCAAGATCTTACAATTACACTTTACCTCAGTTATCCGTCTAGACGAAACAAATAATCAATCAATATTCATTGTCATCCACCCACACTGAGGGAGGCAGGAGCAGCACGGGGCGACAAGCGCTTGGGGCTTAGAATCTGTTGTTTACCTCTAAAAGAAAATGTGTGAGCCAACGCTCTCGACTTTTTATCATATTCAGAACAAAATACTGATACAGCTATCTTTAAAGAGTATAAATAGTGGTCCCACCCTATTTGGTTGAGACTGGCCGCTTACCACCATCACAGAATCTTATTCTAACAATCACTACAGCATGAATCCAATCACTACAGGAACACTGTCAACATAATCTACAAAATACAGTGTCTTATTTTATCCTGAGAAATCTTAATCTGACTACTTGTCAGCTAGGCACCTGTTCTCAGAACGGATAAGTTTTAAGTGTTTGTAGTATGTCTTAATTGGCCAATTTTGCATGCTTTTATAACCTTAAATATATCCAATACAGTCTGTTTGTGGTTAAGAAGCATCGAAACTCCCCACAATAAAGTAAGCATTTAACTTAATTTTTAACTCACAAAATTAGTTAGTTATTAATAGCAATTGAAGTAATCTTAATAATCCAATCTGAATGAATGTAAAAATAATCTAATTAGTATAACTGATCAAAATTATCATCATGAAATAATATTTGCTGGCAAATAATCAATAAATCATTCTAATCTTGCTTGAATAATTTAACTAGTTCAATTCATATTTACTAGAATAATATGAATTGAACTAGTTAAATAATATGAATAATATAAAATCCTACTTATTGGCTGTAACAGTTTAAGAGTTGGGCTAAATTGTGTGCAGTATTCAGATCTTGTTGAGGCTCGAACAGAACCAGTAATCATACAGTCATTGTGCTGTATTTGTTATTATTTAATCCATTGTATAAAATACGATGCTAAATGTGTCTAAATACCAACAGATACACTGTGTTTCTTCAATCAATAACCTTATTTACCCTTAAGAAAAGTACCTGATCACAGCCCATTAACTGTATCAAGGACATGAGGAAACTTTGACTGGACTTAAAAGACAGTTATGGATTTTAATTTGATTTTTTTTGCATGTTTTTTTGAAGATAGCATTTTAATATTCGTATTCCTTATATCCTATCAATCCTTGGTATTTATCCCTGAGTGCATACAATGCATAATAGCATTGCAAGTACTCAAAACAGCATAATAGTATTGCATGCACTGAAAAAAGCATAGTAGCATGGCATACACTAAAAGCAGCATAATAACATGGCATACACTCTGAGCAGCATAATAGTATGGCATACATTCAGAGCAGCATAATAGTATGGCATGCACTCAGAGCAGCATAATAGCAGGGCATGCACTCAGAGCGGCCTAATAGCATGGTATGCACTTAGAGCATAATAGCATTGTTTGCATTCAGAGCAGAATAATATCTTTGCATGCACTCAGAGCAGTATAATAGCATGGCATAGAGTCAGAGCAGCAAGCAAGCATGGCAGTGTAATGCCTCCTGTGAGTACTCACAGTATAGGGAGAGCGCCCAGGCCGTAGAAGGCCAGGCTGCCGAGGGAGCCAATCAGGTTACCATTCAGATGCCTGGAGCGACAGAATAGGAGCGTCAGTAAGTGCCTGGATACACACATTGTGCTTTCCTCTAACAATAAACTTACGAACTAAGTCTGAGGTTTGACAGTTCCTGTTATGTTCTCGCTGAGAAGTCCTGGACTCTTGGTGTTCTCATTGAGAACGCTGGCCACATGGCTCTATCAGCCCTTAATCTTACCAACTATTCTCATGTCGCATTCTTCATCGAATCAATCATTTTTACGTATTAATACGAATTAGAGCAACAGTGACGTTGTCTATGTATCTGCCTTGATAGCTTAGTAGGGTAGCTTGAGTTCCTAAGTTTTTGGTTAAACGAAACGGCTACAATTTTTCCTGAGAGGGAACATAAGAACATAAGAACATAAGAACAGGGTAACTGCAGAAGGCCGATTGGCCCATATGAGGCAGCCCCTATCTATAACCACCCAATCCCACTCATAAACATGTCCAACCACGCTTGAAACAATCGAAGGACCCCACCTCCACCACGAGACGCGGCAATTGGTTCCACAAATCAACAACCCTGTTACCGAACCAGTATTTACACAAGTTTTTCCTAAATTTAAACTTATCCAATTTATACCCATTGTTTCGTGTTCTGTCTTGTGTTGAAACTTTTAATACTCTACAAATACCCCCTTTGTTATGTCCATTCATCCACTTGTAAACCTCTATCATGTCACTCCCTAACTCTTCGCCTTTCCAGTGAATGCAAGTTAAGCTTTGTTAATCTTTCTTCATATGAAAGTTTTCTAATTTGGGGAATTAACTTAGTCATCCTGAGAACCTTGGTTAGGTTGATTTGAACTATAGCTTGAGAACCACACCAGGTGTCTTGTTACTAACGCTGCGATTAATAAATCCAAGTGTCCGATTTGCCTTATTACGAACATTTATGCACTGATCCTTTTGTTTTAAATTCTTACTAATCATAACTCCCAGATCCCTTTCGCAATCCGACTTCGCAATCTCAACACCATCTAGCTCGTATCTTGTAACTCTATCATCATTACCTAACCTCAGAACTTTACATTTATCAGCATTAAACTGCATCTGCCAATCCTTCGACCATTTCAAAACCCTATCTAGATCAACTTGAAGTGATAGTGAGTCCTCCTCCGAATTAATTTCCCTACCGATTTTCGTATCATCGGCAAATTTGCAAATGTTGCTACTCAAACCTGAATCTAAATCATTTATATATATTATAAACAACAGAGGTCCCAGGACAGAGCCCTGAGGCACCCCACTAACAACATTTTCCCACTCTGACTTGACTCCATTTATACTAACTCTCTGTTTCCTTTGGTATAGCCATGAACTAATCCAGCTTAATATAGCACCCCCAATACCATGAGACTCTAACTTTTTAATCAGTCTTTCATGTGGCACTGTATCAAAACATAAGAACAAAGGCAACTGCAGAAGGCCTGTTGGCCCATACGAGGCAGCTCCTATTTATAACCACCCAATCCCACTCATATACATGTCCAACCCATGCTTGAAACAATCGAGGGACCCCACCTCCACAATGTTACGCGGCAATTGGTTCCACAAATCAACAACCCTGTTACTGAACCAGTATTTACCCAAGTCTTTCCTAAATCTAAACTTATCCAATTTATACCCATTGTTTCGTGTTCTGTCTTGTGTTGATACTTTTAATACCCTATTAATATCCCCTTTGTTATGTCCATTCACCCACTTGTAAACCTCTATCATGTCAACCCTAACTCTTCGCCTTTCCAGTGAATGCAACTTAAGCTTTGTTAATCTTTCTTCATATGAAAGATTTCTAATTTGGGGAATTAACTTAGTCATCCTACGCTGGACACGTTCAAGTGAATTTATATCCATTCTATAATATGGCGACCAAAACTGAACTGCATAATCTAAATGGGGCCTATCTAGAGCAAGATATAGCTTGAGAACCACACCAGGTGTCTTGTTACTAACGCTGCGATTAATAAATCCAAGTGTCTGATTTGCCTTATTACGAACATTTATGCATTGATCCTTTTGTTTTAAATTCTTGCTAATCATAACTCCTAGATCCCTTTCGCAATTCGACTTCGCAATCTCAACACCATCTAGCTCGTATCTTGTAACCCTATCATCATTACCTAGCCTCAGAACTTTACATTTATCAGCATTAAACTGCATCTGCCAATCCTTCGACCATTTCAAAACCCCATCTAGATCAACTTGAAGTGATAGTGAGTCCTCCTCCGAATTAATTTCCTTACCGATTTTCGTATCATCGGCAAATTTGCAAATGTTGCTACTCAAACCTGAATCTAAATCATTTATATATATTATAAACAACAGAGGTCCCAGGACAGAGCCCTGAAGCACCCCACTTACAACATTTTCCCACTCTGACTAGACTCCATTTATACTAACTCTCTGTTTCCTTTGGTATAGCTATGCCCTAATCCAGCTTAATATAGCACCCCCAATACCATGAGACTCTAACTTTTTAATCAGTCTTTCATGTGGCACTGTATCAAAAGCTTTGCTAAAGTCAAGGTACACAACATCGCAATCCTTACCACTATCAACTGCCTCAACAATGCTAGAATAAAAAGATAACAAATTTGTTAAACTAAAGTTGATCTAGATAGGGTTTTGAAATGGTCAAAGGATTGGCAGATGCAGTTTAATGCTGATAAATGTAAAGTTCTGAGGTTAGGTAATGATGATAGAGTTACAAGATACGAGCTAGATGGTGTTGAGATTGCAAAGTCGGATTGCGAAAGGGATCTGGGAGTTATGATTAGTAAGAATTTAAAACAAAAGGATCAATGCATGAATGTTCGTAATAAGGCAAATCAGACACTTGGATTTATTAATCGCAGCGTTAGTAACAAGACACCTGGTGTGGTTCTTAAGCTATATCTTGCTCTGGTTAGGCCCCATTTAGATTGTGCAGTTCAGTTTTGGTCGCTGTATTATAGAATGGATATAAATTCACTTGAACGTGTCCAACGTAGGATGACTAAGTTAATTCCCCAAATTAGAAATCTTTCATACGAAGAGAGATTAACAAAGCTTAAGTTGCATTCACTGGAAAGGCGAAGAGTTAGGGGTGACATGATAGAGGTTTACAAGTGGATGAATGGACATAAGAAGGGGAATATTAATAGGGTATTAAAAATATCTACACAAGACAGAACACGAAACAATGGGTATAAATTGGATAAGTTTAGATTTAGGAAAGACTTGGGTAAATACTGGTTCAGTAACAGGGTTGTTGATTTGTGGAACCAATTGCCGCGTAACGTGGTGGAGGTGGGGTCCCTCGATTGTTTCAAGCGCGGGTTGGACAAGTATATGAGTGGGATTGGGTGGTTATAGATAGGAGCTGCCTCGTATGGGCCAATAGGCCTTCTGCAGTTACCTTTGTTCTTATGTTCATGGTATTGGGGGTGCTATATTAATCTGGATTAGGGCATGGCTATACCAAAGGAAACAGAGAAGTAGTATAAATGGAGTCAAGTCAGAGTGGGAAAATGTTGTTAGTGGAGTACCTCAGGGCTCTGTCCTGGGACCTCTGTTGTTTATAATATATATAAATGATTTAGATTCAGGTTTGAGTAGCAACATTTGCAAATTTGCAGATGATACAAAAATTGGTAGGGAAATTAACACGGAAGAAGACTCACTATCACTTCAAGTTGATCTAAATAGGGTTTTGAAATGGTCAAAGATTGGCAGATGCAGTTTAATGCTGATAAATGTAAAGTTCTGAGGCTAGGTAATGATGATAGAGTTACAAGATACGATGGTGTTGAGATTGCGAAGTCGGATTGCAAAAGGGATCTGGGAGTTATGATTATTAAGAACTTAAAACAAAAGGATCAATGCCTGAATGTTCGTAATAAGTCAAATAGGACACTGGGATTTATTAATTGAAGCGTTAGTAACAAGACACCTGGTGTTGTTCTTCAGCTATATCTTGCTCTGGATAGGCCCCATTTAGATTATGCAGTTCAGTTTTAGTCGCCAAGCTATGGAATGGATATAAAGTCACTTGAACGTGTCCAGCGTAGGATGACTAAGTTAATTCCCCAAAATCGAAATCTTTCATTTGAACAAAGATTAACAAAGCTTAACTTGCATTCACAGGAAAGGCGAGGAGTTAGGGGTGACATGATAGACGTTTACAAGTGGATGAATGGACATAACAAAGGGGATATTAACAGGGTATTAAAAGTATCAACACAAGACAGAACACGAAACAATGAGTATAAATTGGATAAGTTTAGATTTAGGAAAGACTTGGGTAAATACTGGTTCTGTAACAGGGTTGTTGATTTGTGGAACCAATTACTGCGTAACATGGCGGAGGTGGGGTCCCTCGAGTGTTTTATGAGTGGAATTGGGGGGTTATAGATAGGAGCTGCCTCATATGGGCCAATAGGAATTCTGCAGTTACCTTGTTCTTATATTCCTGTTCTAAACTGACTTCCCCCATTCTTAATCCCTTTGTACCACGCTCTCTTTTTACGTATATGGTTCTTCAGATTATTTTCGGTCATTAGTCTTCGTTCTACTCATTTAGTTCCTTTGCTTTGTTTAGAGTATTTTTTAATAAGGTATATTTTGAATCCACATCGAAATCCCTTTTTACGTCACCTACCGCTGGGTTCACGTCTTGCTCCAAGACCGGCCCTTCCCCCAAGCCCAAGACTTTCCAATCTATTTGACCCCCAAAAAATTCTTAGACTATTAAAATCAGCTTTTTGAGAATCTGGCGCTTTAACAGAATTTTCTCCTACAGATCTATTCCATTCTATGCTAAATCTGATTTCTTTGTGATCACTGTTCCCTAGCTCAATCCCTATTTCGATGTCATTAATTTGTGTTTTCCTGTTAGTTAACACTAAATCTAAAATATTACTTTCCCATTATATCATAATATTAGGTGGTTTCATAACCACCCAACATTATGGATTGCGTAGTTATAAACAGGAGCTGCCTCGATT